GTTTTAATAATAAAGAAGTCCAGCTGGAATCAAAGGCTAAATAGAGAAGTCTAAACTGAATAACTATTTAATAAGAAACCTGACATGTCCTTCACCCCTTCTTTTTCAGGTATATATTATTGCACATTTTCACTTGTCTATCATTTGTGCTACAGGCTCTGAAGCAAGAACTCATGGTAAGAGTTTTCTGTGAAGGACCTAGCACGTGTGGACACTATAAAAGCAATGTAAGAAAAGTCATGTCTTTACATTGATAGTTGTACACTTATTTGCATATTTTAAACAAAATAGGTTGATGAAAAAATTATTTTGGCTGCTTTATCTGATGGACCGGCTTTAACAAAGTCTTTACTTTTTAGACTATAGTTTCTTTTTCTTCTTTTAGCAATAATGTGTAAAGTATTGCTTCTTACTATACTCTTCTGAGAAAGGTCTCCCTCACAAAGTAAATGTTTACTAAAGCAATGGTATCCAAGATACCCTACAACCAGCATTCTGGGCATAGAAAAAAGTTATGGAATTGTGATTTTGCTTTTTAATAGCAATGTGTCTGATATATGTTCCTGGATATCTCACTTCAATTTAAACTCCAAAACTGACCACATTACACTAATCAGGTTCTAATACCCCTCACACTGCTGAAATACGAGAGCTTTCCACTGGTGCATTAAGGGACCTGACCAGCACCTATTAAGTATGTTTTTTCCCCACACCATCACCCTGCATATCTGCACTAGCCTTCCTCCACCTCCCCTCTCTGGCTCAGACTCATCTTTCATATGGTCCAAGTCTTACTGTTTCATCATTTGAGCCTCTATTCCACGTGACATGGTTACAAGTGTTGTGAAGGCTGTGCAAGTACCCTCCCAAGACTTCTTACTCTTTTTAATAAATCTAGCATTAATGTAATCATATATCTGAGATTACTATTCTTTGTACTGATATCTGACTTTCCAACTGATGAAAATCCATCAATAACCACACTACCAAATACACAGAATTAAAACATTTAATGCAGCAGAGTGTAAGTCTGTTATATTTTTGGGGAGAAATTCCCCTTCATCTGTACACTCTAGTTTAAAAATATTTTATACACTATGAAATCCAGTCGTTAGTTTTGTGCTATGTTGCATGAGAAAAAATATAAAATTACAAGTTTAGACAAGAGTAAACAGTTGAAGATTTGGTCAGTGAAAAAAGGGAGAAAGATTTTCAGAAAATAAAATGTACCAAATCCATTTACTGAGAAGGTGCCATTCATTTCCAAGTTGCTGGTATGAAGTTAGCTCAGGCTAGTACTGACTAGGAATGTAAAAGGTCATTTAAAATGTAACCATGTAACTGCTAAAAATCCTAGCAGTTACACATGCTGCAGCTTATATATAAGCTTTATACTGTAGAGCCCTCAGCAAAGCCTCACCAGGAGCAGGGCTGGCAAGGAATGCTGGCCCTACTTCTGGGGAACCAGCATGTAACTGGAACTGGTAAGCTTCACCCATTCAGAGTGAGGTTTATTGGTTAAGCAGTTACATCCCTAGTATTGACTGAAAGCTTTAACCCTTGCCAATGACTCAGTTGCACATGTCAAATGAATTAGCTTCCACCAGAAAGCCTCACATATGGCAATCTAACAAAAACTACCTTCACTGCAACTGGCACTGCTGTTGGCAAGCTGAGACTGAGGCCGTGTCTACATGATAGTGGAACTGCTAGGCTACGTCTACACTGCAGTTTTTGTGCAAAAACTCGGAGTGTTCACACTATTTTTGCACAAGAAAAAGTACAGCAGATTATCAGAAGACAGGGGTTTTTGCAGTATAGGTATTCCTCTTTCTAAAAGGCATAAGTCTTTTTGCGTAAGAGCTCTTGCGCAAAAAGGCGTGTGTGGACGGACAACAGGAGAAAGCACAGGTGCTCTGATGGCCGTTCTGTGAATAGCCATCAGAGTTTTCTTGTGCAAGAGCATCCATGGCAGTGTGGATACTCTCTTGAGCAAAAGCACATCTCTTGTGCAAATGCACATGGCAGTGTGGACGTGCTCTCACGCAGGAACTTTTTGCAGAAGAACTCTTCCGCAAAAAGTTCTTGCACAAGAAGCCTGCAGTGTAGATGTAGCCCTACAGTGTTGAAGCCATAGTGTATACCAGAGGTAGTCTGTTTTTTGTCCAGGTCCAAATTTCTTGGTCAAGGCATAGTCAAGATCCAGGCTTCCAAAGAAAATAATAATAAGTAAATAAAATATTTTGAGACCTGTTCAAAAGCATCTGGCAGTCCCAATTTGGCCCATGGTCTGCCTAGGAGATAAGCACTTCCTACATCAACTGAAGAGGGTTTTCCATCGACGTAGGTAAACCACCTCTCCAAGAGTAAGCAGCTAGTTTGACAGAATTCTTCTTTAGCTCTAGTTGCATCTACAGTGGGAGTTAGGGGATCTAACTATATTGCACAGGGAGTGAATATTTTTACAGCTTTCAGTGATGCACCTGTGCTCTAGATCAGGGGCAGGCAAAATACAGCTGAATCCAGCCTGCGAAACATTCAGATCTGGCCCGCCACAATATTCTGGGCTGCCAATGTCCTATTGCCCTGTGAGACACTCAGGTAGGATCCCTGCCTGCTGCAGTCACAAGCCTCTGAAAGTGGCTTGCTGCTAAGGCCATCATGTGGTTCTGAGATAAATAGGATGAAGTTTAATAAAGACAAATGCAAAGTACTCCACTCAGGAAGGAACAATCAGTTTAACACATACAGAATGGGAAGCAATGGTCTGGGAAGGAGTACGACAGAAAGGTATCTAGGGGTTATAGTGGACCACAAGTTAAATATGAGTAAGCAGTGTGATGCTGTTGCAAAGAAAGCAAACATGATTCTGGGATGTATTAACAGGTGTGTTGTGAGCAAGACATGAGAAGTCGTTCTTCCACTCTACTCTGCACTGGTTAGGAGTATTGTGTCCAGTTCTGGGCACCGCATTTCAAGAAAGATGTGGAAAAATTGGAGAGGGTCCAGAGAAGAGCAACGAGAATGATTAAAGGTCTGGAGAACATGACCTATGAGGGAAGACTGAGGGAACTGGGTTTGTTTAGGTTAGAAAAGAGAAGATTGAGGGGGGGACATGATAGCAGTTTTCAGATATCTAAAAGGGTGTCAGAAGGAGGAGGGAGAAAACTTGTTCATCTTGGCCTCTGAGGATAGAACAAGAAGCAATGGGCTCAAACTGCAGCAAGGGAAGTTTAGGTTGGACATTAGGAAAAAGTTCCTAACTGTCAGGGTAGTCAAACACTGGAGTAAATTGCCCAGGGACGTTGTGGAATCCCCCTCTCTGGAGATATTTAAGAGCAGGTTAGATAATGTCTATCAGGGATGGTCTAGACAGTATTTGGTCCTGCCATGAGGGCAGGAGACTGGACTCGATGACCTCTTGAGGTCCCTTCCAGTCCTCATATTCTATGATTCTATGTGCAGAGAGCCCCTTTGGGAGTGAGGGGGTTCTCCATGCCTTGTTCCCTCTATGAGCACATTCCTCACAGCACCCATTGGCTGGTTTCTGGCCAATTGGAGCTGCCTGGGCTGTGATTGCAGGCAGATGCAGCACATAGAAACCCTCCAAGGGACATACTGTGGAGAAACACACATGCTGGCCCCAGCAGCCAGCTGCTTTGAGTGGTGTGGGGGGGTGTGACAGGCAAGGGGCTTGCCCGAAGGTCCCGCTGGGCTCTTGGCCAGCAGCTGCTTATGGTAAGCGCCTTCTGATCAAAGCTTGCACCTGGCATCCCACCTGCTCCTGCAACCCAACCACTTGCTCCAGGTCACAACCAGTATTCCCTGTAAGCTGCAGGGCAGCACAGCTTCACAGGTGATGAATCAGCCTCGCCCAGACAGAGGCTCAGGGCATGGAGCTAACTGATTGAGCGGAGCTGATTCATCAACTGTGAAGCTGCGCTGCAGCACAGCTTAGAGAGAACACTGGTGACAACCCAAACCCTCTGCACCTCCTTCCATGTCACAATACTCTCCTGCCACTGGTCATAATCCAAACCTTCTGCAGCCCCCTGCCGCACCCTTGCCCCTGGTTACAACCCACTCCCAGAACCTGCACCCTTTTCTACAGCCCTCGCCCAGGTCAGAATCCTCTCCTGCAACCAAACCCCCTCCCAGATCCCACCTTCACCCCAATTCCCTACCCAGAGCTCCTTCCTGTACCCAACTTCTGTCCCAGATTCTGTGCCCTCTCCATTAATATCATAGAAGAGCACGGCTCTTGACCACTTATCAAATTCTTGGAGTGCCCCCCCCATAAAAATTGTTGGCTACCCCTGACTTAGATGAACCTAAGTTCTAGGAATAGGCCAGGCCTGAGTAGGTAAGAAAGCATTCTAACCTGTCTACATGCAAGTGGTCTCTACAGAAGAAGCACTGTTGCTTTTCTATGGATGACAAGTAGTCTTCAGTCTCTGCGGTTAACAATTTGGCACTTTTGCAAGCACTACTGCTAAAGACTGATAATGGGGGAGGGAAGCGATACACTATTGCAAATGTTTGCTAAGTTGAGTTTGGTGCATTTATACCTCATTTAATTCATTATATAACTGGGACAGTCAAAACAAACTTGATCAGACTACAACATTCTTGCAAAAGCATTTCTGTGGATAGATCCTTATGCTTAAATGGTGTCTCTCTGTCTTCAGAATGATTCTGCAAAGACATAAGGATCTGCCCAAGTATCTTTTGCAAGACTGGGGCTTTAAGATGCAACAAATAAACCACTGAAAAAATTTAGATATAAGAAAATTCAACATTCTGTAATACTCTATTCAAACAATATTGACACATATAGTAAACAATATAAATGCAGCACATGAAGTAAAAACTGATTCACAACAAGATGAACCAATACAAATACTTTGTTTTTAACCGAAACATACCATAGATACAACACAAATGTACTGTTTACATTTTGCAGTATAAATAGACTTGAATAAAAGAAAACTACAGACTAATAGCACTAAACAATTAGTATTTACTAAGGAATGCAATAAAATTGTAGAAAAGATCAGAACATCCTCGCCAGAAATGGTTGTAAAGTATTTCACAAGATTGTACTAGATAGAAACAAATAGTTTTTTCTGTAAGTTCTGCTTTTAAAAATATTAAGGCAATCTCACAGCAATCAAGCAAGGTCCTCACCCCGCAAGGAGCACAGTGTCACAGATACTTGAATCTGGGCAGAAACCCAAGGATACTGGTGCTTGGAACTTACTGCAGGAGTGGGGCTTTTAATAATCAACCATAAGCAATGCAACTTGTAGCTTTTAGCTGCCTGTACATATAACACATTTCTTTAGCTTCCACTTCCAGCCTCCTAATTGTTTAGCACCCAAATTCAGTTGTCTGCTAATGATTCATCTATTTCTCACAAAATCATAATACTATATAGATAGTAGGATCATGCTTCTAATTAACATATAAAAACAATCACAGATTATGTCAAATAAAATAATTCCGATATAAACTTATCTGAATTATTAACATTTTTTAAATAGAGTTTATACATAAAAGCCTTTTGGAATTCCATTACAGTTTGAAAGACGAGTGGCATTTAATTTGATCTTATGCACAATTACACAAATTAAACTAGAATGCTGAACCATTAATCTCTTCAAAGTGCTATAGTTTCCATCTTCTTAAAGCAAGGGCTGTGCTACAGCCATAACAAATAGTTGTTGCAAAGGCAAAAATCTGCAGAAGAAAATGAGATAAATCACATCAAATTGCTATCACTGCAGTGTTGCTCAACTTTTCCCAGAACCACATTTTAGAAAAAATAATCAGAATTTTCCTCCAGCTAGCCATAAAGTAATGAAGATTGGTTGTGACCCCCTGAGGCCCCATCATGAACCTCAAGAGGAGAACCTATGTGATACTGCTTTTAATTTTTTTTTCAAAAGCATCAAATGCTGAAATCACTTTGCTTCGATGTAACTGAAGTAGATCTTTTGCTAGGTTTTGGTGCAGCTCTCTAAAATACTAATCTGTATACCTTGTAATCAAGTGTCTTCTCATTATCAGAGATGAATGAAGACACTAGGAGCTCATCTAGACTACGCGGAACAGTCGAAAGAGGGTATGCATATCTGCTTTCAAAAGTGAAAGTAGCTTAGACATGGCTTTTTCGGCAACCTCTCCCCCCTTTGTCAAAAAGTAAATCTCATTTCTTGAGGAACAGTGGCTTTTTGACGGGGGCGGAAGTTTCGCCGAAAAAGGCGTCTAAACTTTTCACTTTCAAAAGCTCTGCTTTCAAAAGCGCGATCGGAAAAAGATATACAAAATTCCCGCAGAATTTGCATATCCTCAACTGTTCCACATAGTCTAGATAGGCCCTAGGCATGTTAGATAGCATGTAACCGCATGACATTTTAGTGGTCACACAGCTATTCTATAGTCCCCAGACGCAGGACTGGCAGAGGCAGCAATACGGGCTGGCAGACAGGAGCTGGTCCAGGAAGGGAGCCAGTTTAAAAACCAGCTTCCCATTCAGCCCGGCTTCCACCTGCTGCCCCATGCTCCTGCCTCTGATCGAGAGGCAACAGTGTGGGGTGGCAGCAGTTCCTGTCCGCGGGCAGTCCAAGCTCCCCAAGGACAGAGGCAGCAGGGGTGGAGGGTGAGCAGGAGGCGGTGCTGAGGGGGAACTGGCTTAAAAGCTGGCTCCCCCCAGCACTAGCTCCATGGTGCTACCTGCCCCACTCTCCCACTCTGCTGCCTGTGTCTGTAGTGAGCCCAGGCTGCGGCAGCCTCCCTTGCCCCTACCCCGCTGCCTTGGATAGAGGAAGCAGTGCGGGGGAGGAGGCAGCACCATGGAGCTAGTGATAGGGGGAACTGGCTTTTAAACCAGCGCCCCTCAGCACCAATTCTTGCTTCCCCACTGCCTCTGCAGAGGCAGCAAGGCGCGGGGGGGGGGCAGGCGGGTCTGCAGAGCCAGCAGGCTCCCTGCTCATATTGGCTCCTGCTTGCCCCCCTCACCCTCTGCACTGCTGCCTATCAGAGGCAGCAGGGCGGGGGGGGGGA